ACGGCGCACACTAGCGTGTACCCAAACGTGTTTGCCATAAAATGCTGGGATGAAAACCACCCCTTCCTTGGCTCGTTTTCCCGCTATTCGCGATTGCGCAAAAAGTGTCCCAAACCCCCATTGACTTACTATGGGAAAAATGGAATCGCACGTGCCACGTGCCACGAGGTTTTAAGCGAGTAGCGACCGGTGCCATCAGGTAGATCGCCTCCGGGAGCCCATACACTGAACTTTTTACGAAAATCGCAATGCACGTTTAGGCCCCGGTCAAGTTGCCCCAATTCGCGGCCAGACTTGCAAAACATAGCCCGGAGAAGGACCGCTCCGGTTGTTTTTCAATAGAAAAACACAATTCTAACGAATAGTGTTTGTCTTTTCAAACAACCTGCGGTTAAATAAAAACTCAGCATATATCGGACGTTTCGTGTTCGGTTTAACACTTCATCGGCGATACTGGCGCGGCAATTCATTTTCGTAGACATACATACATGTTTTTTTACCTAATTATCACTTTCATTTTCCTACTAAACCTCCACTCCGCATAATTTTCTGTTAACTACTCCTAGGCTGGAAAAATACAGACATACACCATTGAACACATTGAATACAAACATACATTGCAATAAATCATTTTCTCGTGTTTCTGGGGACTACTAGCGCGTTTTCTTGTTGAGTCCCCCTGTGACCGTTAGATGGTGCGTACCCAACAGCTCAATCCACCTTTGTTCCCTCTGTCTCCTGTACATAGTCCAGTTTTTCCAAACCTTTTCGAGCCCTACGAAACTTGCATCTTTGATGTTATGTCCATCCCCGTTAAAATGGGCGGCTACCTCCATTTCGGTCCTTTTACATCTAATGGTAGACAAGTGATTTTGCGCCCTGACGTACAGTGTCCCCCCGGTCTCCCCAACATATACTACACATTCACATACCCCGCAGATAATCCCATAAACTACATTCCTTGACCTACACCCAATTGTTTTATCATACGTACACTCTTCATTCTTGCTTGGTCCGGTTAACTTCTCTGTCTGGTTGTACATAACTCGGCACACGCAGCAGTTTTTCTTACAGTGCCCCCGTGGGTCTTGGTTTCCCCGCCCTAAGTCCCTTGTCTTTTTATGAACTAGCGTGTCTCTCAGGTTGGTCCCTCTTTTGTATGATGCGAAAAAACCGTCTTTGAATGTGTCCCGCAGCGATTCAGATCGCATGAGAATTGCTTTCTTTTCCTTTAGTATCTTGGATATATTGGGTAAATGACTCGAAAAAGTAACGACCAAAGGGGTGCCTGTTTTTTGTCCCCTCCCTTCCTTTTTCCTCAGCAAATTGTCTCGGGACGTTTTCTCGGCCCGCCTGATACCTTTTCTAATTTGGTCTTCTGGGTAACCCCTCCGTTTGAGATTGTCTGCTATATCGGCAGCCTGACGTTGATATGCACTGTCTGAGCTGCATATTCTTCTAGCCCTCATAGCCAGACCCGAAGGAATGCCACTTTTCGTGTGGATCGGATGGTCCGACGAGAAGTGAAGGTATGCCTTCGTGTCTGTAGGTTTTGTATAAACGTCTGTGCTCAAACTATCTCCTGTTACACTTACTCTGACATCTAAAAATTCTATGCTACTCTGCGTGTGACGAAGGTCGACTTTAATTTGCCTGTGTATATTGTTCGCTAACTCATGGAACTCTCTTAAGCTTTCCTCTCCGTTCAACCAAACCCCAAATATGTCATCTATATACCGGAAATACAGGAAAGGCTTGATGTGTGAACGACGTAACAGTTCTGTCTCCCATTGCCCCAAATACGTGCAAGCATAGTTACGCCCTAGTTTCGACCCAATCGCTGTGCCATTGATCTGGATGTAGTGTTTTGACCCGCCAACGTTAAAGTTATTGTTATCTAAGACTAACTGAATCATGTCAAGCACATCTTGTGTAGGAATGCTAGGATTTTGACGTTCATTGAGAGCTATTCTACAAGCCTCTAACCCTTCGGCTCTGGGGACACTTGGGTATAGCTTACTTACATCCATGCAAAATAAAATCGGTTGACGGTCTGTGGCTGGCAGTTTTGTGTCCATTATTTTGTTTATGAAGTCAGTAGTATCACGAATAAAAGATGGTTGGTTTTCTACATGGGCATTCAGCTCCCGCTCCGCAAGCTCAGCTATCCGTTCAGTGGAATGGCCCCGCCCACTTATTATCACCCTCAAGGGTGCCCCATCTTTATGTAACTTTGGGTTTCCTTGTATGCTGCCAGGTTTCGGATTGTCAGGAATGAGGTACTTGTGAAGGTACCTACCTATGTATCCCTGCCTGAAGAGTCTGTCGGCCAAATCTTTGACTTTCTTGTGGACTTTTTTAGTCTGATCCCCCTCGGTAAGTTTGTACGTTGAGCTATCCTCCAGCTCGTTCTGCAACTTGGCCCAGTAATCCTCCGTGTTCAGAATAACAACCCCGGAACCCTTATCTGCTGGCCTGATCACAATGTTAACATCCATTAACAACTCCATGATCGCATTCTCCTCCCCTTTACTTAAATTGCTGTTTTTTCGTTTAGCCACTCCATTCAGAACGCTCCTCTTCACCTCCTCTATATATAAATCTAGCCAGGGATCCCTTCCCTTCTCAGGGGTCCACCGTGAATTTTTGAATCGTCTATCATAAAGGGGATCCGCCATGTTCTGTGCATTGCCTCTGGACTCTCCCTCCCTCCCGGCGCTGTTTTCACTGTTTTCTCTAGAGTCCTTTGCCCAATATTCCTTGAGTCTGACTAATCGTTCCCATTCCCCTAGTTCTGCAATAAGCCGAGTGACCTGCTGGGTACGCACCGGTACGAATCCTAGGCCTTTGCTAAGTAGCGATAGCTGTTCTGCCGACAGGGTTTTACTCGATAGGTTCGTTACTTTAACACTGTCTTTGTCTCTATCCGACCCTGTCTGCTTTCTACGTCTCGACTCGCTAGGGGAGACGGGATCTAGTGATATATGCTGAGTTTTTATTTAATTTCAACGAAAGCTGAGTACTATATTAAAATTCTGAGATATACATTTTGTACACGCTATTGCTCTTAGCAATCGCTGAAAGTTTCAAAGCGATCGGTCACTCGCTGTAGCTATGGCAGACATTGAAACTTTTTATGAGGTGAGGTCACTTCAAGTGACCTGGTGACCTGACCTTGAATGACCTTGGTCTGAAATTTTCACGGCATGTTTAGAATTGATGTGTGACAAGGTGTACCATGAGATATTTGCGAAAAACCACAAGGGGGTGTTCAAACACCCCCCCCCCCCCCCAGCAGGGCGCGGGTTAATGCAAGAGGTTGGTACAACTGGCAAACTGCAGTTAAATATTCCTGTCCGGGGCCGGGATGATTCAATAAATGTCACCCGCACCGTATGAAACCAAGTGACGTAATTAATAATTGTTTCTTTAATTTTCACGTATTTTTGATGTTTTATTAACAAAATAAACTAATAGTAATTATCAATAAAATAGTGTAGAAAATAGCAAACTTAAAGGGACTGTCCCACTTTTGCATTATTTCTGAGTCGAGATAGCCAAGTTGGCGGCCAGGTTCAAAAACCACTATATGTATATCCTGGTCGCAATATCCTCAGTTTCGTAGTGTTAAAGAAATTCGTTCCCTTCATTTGAAAAGTGGGCCTTAGCTAAGGACCTATCTCTTAACTATTAACGGCCATTTGATGACGTCATTTGCATTTTGAACGCCTGTCACGCATTAAGTGAAGTTTCACTTGATTTACGAATAAGCTAATCAGATATACTTGTATGTATGAGCCGCGTCATATTTGAGAGCAAATACGTATATTTGCTGCCAAATTTCCCACACATTGACATGAAGTAAATCCTTCATTACGTCACAGATCCGATCTAAATGACTTCACGATGAAATATAAAAGTCGCAATATCTCAAAAAGTATACAATGAAAACGCGTAAAAACTTGCAGAATTCGTCACAATATCATGAGTAACATTTCCGAATCCTAAATGGTACTTTTTTGAAGGTGGGATAGTCCCTTTAAGCGTTTGTTGCGAAGCCATTTATTAGTTGTTATTATTACGTCAGCATACAATTCACGGAAATTCTGGAAAATCACAGAAACCGATGTCAAGGGAATCTCGCAATCACAGATCTGCAGATCACGCACGTAATTTCCTGAACGGTCACGCATAGTGTAGCTCAGCCTTTATAGAGAATGCGCTATAACATCGAGTAAAACGCATTTTGTCGAAAATCAGCGATAGGGCGTCAGTTGCCTAGCACATGTGTTGCTATTAGAGGTCACTGATAATACCAGGTCAGGTCACCAAAGGTCAGCACATGAATCGAACTTTACTAGGGTTGTGCGATGCATGTTTTATGGCCAATTTTTCATTTCCAACTCAATGGTGTTGGTTATAAGACAATCAGGTACGGTTCAGGTCACTTTCTGGTGGAGGGCAGGTCAAGGCCAGGTCAAGAAAGGTCAAATTTCAAAGTTGATAGTTTTGCATAAAATGGGTATTGATTCGATGCAGCTCGCCACAGGGAGTCTAATGTAAATGGTGCTCTTCGTTTTGCGCTTCGTTGTCTAGAATTGCAGAAAAATGAGTTTCAAAATTTGACGTCAACAATTTTGAAGTTTTTTTGCTATAACTTGGCCAAATAAAGAGGCATCGATCTCAAAGTTGGCATGTGGATAAAAAGCGGTAGGGACTATAACATACATTCCGTTTTTACGAAATTCGAAATTTTTCTGGAATTTTCGGCTGGATTTTTCTGGATTATTCATTTTTTTTTTAATTTTTGGGGGCCAAACTTAAAAAATTTCAAAAATCCGAGATAGCAGTTTTTAGCCCTGTTACTTTTACACCATTTATCCCCAAACATTTTCCTCTATCTCTAAAGCTTAGCCCTGATCGTTAATTAGTACCTAACTGCGAGCCGATGACATGTGGAGGCAGACTTCTGTCAGGGGCGTTATCGTTGTTTCGCTTACCGTGTTTCCAGATCACCCAGCCAAGACACCAGCAAGGTGGCTACAAGCCCCGAGAGCACGACCAACAGCACTCGCCGACCGGCCCACTGCGGCAGGGGAGAGCGCATGCTTGGCCGGCGGAGCAGCGGCCACGGGGCGCCTACAGTCGCCGCGCCGTGCCCGCTCCGAGTGGCCACTGACCAGGCCCCGTCACCCGGACCAGGTGGCGCGGCCGTCGGCTTACCGCCCCAGGGCAGCCGTCAGAGGGACTTTACCAAAGGGCATTGACCTCTATTAGTAAGGTAATTATAGCTTTTAAAATAGTAGGGATATGCGAGATGACGTTTTCATTATCAATGCATAACTTCATTCCAGTAGCCAAATCAGTCCCTTGCAGTTCCGCATTTCTCGCCCTGCCAACGGTGACCATGGCGGCTGGTAAGGCCCCCGGCGGTTAGTGGTAGCGCCACCTACACTGAAGGTCGGCGGATCCCGAGGCCACGGGCCGGCCTGGCCCGACCGTGGCGGACGGGCCGGGGAGCCGGCGGCAGGGGTGGGGAGGGGTATCCGGGGACGACGGGCAGCATTGCATTTCACTTTACAAACAAGGTTCGTATAAAACACTTTGCAGTTTGCCTGGAGTATCCGCGGACCGCGAGTCATTTTAAGGCAGGCGCGACGTTACTCAAATATAACTTGCTTTTAATTGGAGAGTTGGTAGGCAAATTAAGGCATTTGCGCGTTGCTCATGGACTAGCCCTCTGTTTTGGAATAACACCCGGTAATGATGCCCACAACTGCACTGCTAGCCTGCTTTTTTTGTCTATTTTAGGTATACATAGAAATATATATGTTTTCAAATGTAACCTTATGTTCAATGATTGCGAAATGCAAAAGGTTCCAAAATTAATTACAAAATGAATATATTTCGGACACTGTCCTTCTTCAGTTCAGAATTGCAAATTAAATCATTTAGTCACAATAGCGCCAGAATATGTCGATAACAGCTAAGTTAGGAAGTCTCACATTGGTAAGTTCTCGCGCAAAATAGACAACCATCTTACAGTTGAAATGTTCACAAGGTACCCTTTCATATAAATATAATACATGTGTCCACAATTTACACGTTAATTCATCCCTATCATCTATCAATCACTAGACCACAAGCATCTAGTCGTCTATTCAACCATCGAGCCATGCAATCAGTCAAACATCCAACCATCCATGTACTCACACATCACTAAGCTATAGATAATTTGACAATCAAGTCATCAAAGGTCACCATCTTACATCAAAGGGTATAAGTACTTCACCATTAACCATTTATTCCAACCTCGAAACAATACTCAATCGTTCAATCATTCATGTTCATCCATACATTCATACATTCATTCATTCATTCATTCATTCATTCATTCATACAATCATCCAATTATTCAGGCCTTCATTCATTCATTCATTTTCTCACACACCATTCATCAATATGGTTGAATATGAAAGCCACTTGTCATCAATACACACATGATCAGTGAATCAGTGGCAAAGGCATCAGAACAGAAGACGTTACAATAGCGAAGTTGTAAATGCTAGAGTACTACAGGACAGGATCAGTTCCTCATTTCATTTCCTTTGGTCTATGACTGGTTAAATGATGGCCCAGGCCGCTATGTTGCTGTTTAGAGCTGGGCGAATCTGTTTGATCCAAAGAGACTCCGCTATTTTCCTGCCTCTACTTTCATCGCATGCCTGCAGAATCTTTGCCCTTACATTATGGGGTCCCGGCCGACACTGGGGATGCTGTGTTCGGAAATGCTCGCCCCACGGGGAGTCATTCCGCTTGTTTTTAGCATCTCGCAAATGTTCGTTGTAGCGGAGGCGCACCGAACGTCCCGTCTCACCAACATAACTCTGGTTACACAGTTCACACGTGAGCTGGTACACCACACCTGAGCTGTGGCATCTTCCTTTCAGTCCGGCGGCGCACGAGTGGCATCGAGAGCCACCGGGACAGGGTGGAGGCTGGAGGGCTGACCGGACCAGTTGGTGCCTGATGGTGTCTTATTAGTCCAGGCCAACCCCAGGTCAGGTTGGCTACCTCCGGACGACTGACTGGACCGCATTGGCGAGCTCGTCGTCGACAATGGTAGCACCATTCTGACTGCGGAAGCATTCGGTCTTCTTGTTCTTGCTCTGGTCGTGTTCATGCACTGGTCCACCGCCTTGTTGATTGTCTTCGTTGTACCCGTTGTTGGCGAAGAGCTCTTGTTTGTTGATGCTTCGGTGTCGGGCGTTATCCCTCTAGCGACCCATGCACTAAGTGAGAAAGCTACAACGACAAAAACTTAAAAGGTATCAAGGGTATGTAAAAGACCAAAAATGGTCTTCAAAAATTATTTGAAAAATATTTTTCAAAATATGCCATGTATATGTTGCAGGCACTTAGAAAATCAGTCATTTTGTAAAATGCCTAGGCATTTTACAAAA